ATGTGTAATGCTCTTAGAGTAGCCTGGCAAATCTTAAAATTCAGAGGAAGCAGATGGCACTAACCCACAATAGAGAGGATCACAAAGATGAAAGGAAAGCACATTGGTGAGGTGGTGAGGCAGGAAAAGCAGTGGGGAAAACAAACAAACAAACAAGAAGGTATTAAAAAGCTACCAAGCTGGATTAAAAGGAACACAATTTCAGAAAACTTCCTCTGCTAGAAAAAGCCTTTAGCAGCCACTGATAAGAGATACTGCCTTCAGTAACAGCCAAAATGGATCTCTGGAAGTGCAGATGCCAATATAAAAAACTGAAAGGAAGAAAGAAGAAAAAGCATATACTTACTATTGCTGCCCTGCTTCCCCCCTTCACCCTTTTTAAACTTCAAACAGCTATAGAAGGGACTTGGAGATATCAGTAAGCCCACCTCACAGCTTCCAAGGCAGCATCAATACCAGCTGCTTGTACAGGTGGTTCTGAAAGGCCTAACAAGGTGATGTGCAAAGTGACAGTTCCCACACTCTGGGGCTCCTCTGAACCCCGCTGCCTTTGCTATCTCACACTTCATATCAGGCATTTTTTCCCTCCACTTATAGTCACTCAGATCTCTTCACAACTAAATCAGGTCTAGTTGTGCAAACCTTGTAAGCTTTCTCAGTGTTTGTTATTCCTCTCTGTTATTCTATATATGCCATTAAGATGGTGACACATTAGTAACCCAACCTGGCAACTGGGCTCAGCAAATTCCTATAGGTAAGAACGAAACTATTAAATGAGATGGATGTCTCTTGGAATTTAGTCACACATTTGCCCAGAATATTATCACTACAAAAAGAAAGTTTTTATTAGCTACTAAACTGCCAACCCAAGATCTTGCAAGACAAAAGTAATCCAAGCTTTCAATTTGAAGCAGTTTATTTCAAGGTATAACAGAAGCATTGGCAAAACTTGAAAATATAAAATGCTACTTCAGCAACTTTTATATCTAAACACTATATGTGTTTGAAAACAACACATCAGGAAGAGCTAAGTACAATAGCTCTTAAGGAGACAAGGCAATTTAAAAAACAACACAAAGATGGAAATAAAAAATGAAATAGTTTTGTTGTCATTGCATTTCCTGTCATGGCATGACAACTTCCCCACATAAATGGGATTAATCAAATAAAACCAAAATCTCAACACAGACATCTAAAAAAGTGCCTTAAATCCCTTCCTTAATGTCTTTTCCCAATTATTCTGCTCTGAATAAATAGAACTAAATTACACTAATGAAAAGAAAAGACAGTCAGATGGAGAGCAAATAGTACCAGACCTCACAGATGACACATTTTTGTATGAGACAGGAACGAACAGTGGAAGCAGATGGAACATTTGTAGCCCAACAGGACTGCAAAGTCACTGTGCAGAGGAGCCTTAAAAAAAAAATTCCAGCATTTCACAAAGGGGTTTCATTTAACTGCCTTTAGACTACATTTATTTTACAGAAGATTGTTAGGGATCCCAGCACAACACTTCAGTGCTTCCTTATAGAGATCACGCACCTCATTTATTCCCATCTTCCTTTTCACCTGCCACACTTCTCTCCCACTGAAGTCACTGAGGCTTTCTGGAGTTTCCAAGAAGCCCTAAAGACAGCTCACCACCTGCCATGTAGGTGACTATCCATTCATGCTGATCACTCAGTCCTGGTTACTCAGCTAATTAGAAAGGAGCATATATTCAAGAGAAGCAATGGCTGCAGAAATGTATGGCTACAAATAGTATTGAATATTAGCAAGAGAAAGGATGGAGGACACCTTTGAGTTAAATTTGTGCCACAGTTCCCCTACAAATTACAGTATCAATTATTTTAAAAAGGTTCCGTAGATGAAAGTTTATAAAAATCCTTATAAAAATACCGTTTAGCTCAATATGAACTAAAAAATTACCTTATGACACTAATTGATTCAAAACACTATTTCAAGTAGAGAAATTTCATTTAGATCTAGTACAGACAAAAGCTATACCATTTCCCCTTCAAATATGCTTCCAATATAATATTTGCATCTTCTTTTGTTTAGCTGCTCTTTAGGATTATGCTTGCATGTCTCCAAATATTTCAACATTTCATTCCTCAACAGAAGCCTAATTCTGAACTTCAAGAGCATTTATAATAAAAACATGTTTAAACACATGTGCAACTCTGTATGTACACAAGCATAATACCACTAATGACACTGAGAGATTCATAACAATTATGCATTTAAAAGTAATCTCTTTTATCCTATGGATTTCATCATTTCAGAACTAGGTGTTTTAAGCTGGTGATGATTAAGCCTTGCACAATGCTGAACAGAACAGTGGTGCCACACTCCCCCTGTGCTGCCAGCTAAGCAACACCTTCCCTCAAAGCAAACAATGCCCTCCAACATCTACAGACAGCAGCTCAAGACAGGCAGGCAGGAAAAGCCCCAGATTCAAAAGGCTGTAATGAGTACACAGGGACAACAGCTGAAGTACAGTTGGAAGTTCTGCCAGAGAGGACAAGGAGCTAGAGACAAACATCCCCCAAACCTTCCCCTCTCCCTACAGCATGTGAAGTTTTGCATTGCTGTTGGCATGAGCACATGTTGTCTTCCACCTTCAAAAGACTGCCTACATTGTCAGTGTGAAATTGAGCTCTGAGTAATAAATCTTAAAGATTATTACTGTGTCTTCACAGGAAAAGAGAAAAATGCTTATGAAGCAATGACTTGAAATAGAATGTGAAGGTTGGATTTGCAGACTCAGCAGAGAGCGTTTGGTTTCACAGAAATTAAACAGATATGACAAGTATTATTATTTAAAGACATTACATAAGTTTTCAATATTATTCAAAAAATACTGTAATGAAGTATCTTTTGGGACTTTTTATTTTACTTATTTTATTTTTTTAACCCAAATCACAGCCATTCCAGCACAGAAAAGAATATTTCTTCTTGAACTAATTTTCCTTGGTATATTTCCCTACTAGAGGGAAAAGGTAATGAATGACATGGGAATTACCTAGTTCTAAATTTTTCAAGTTTAGCTACATACAAAAAAGGATTTCAATCACAGAAAATAATTTTTAATCTTGTGTACTTGAATATTTGTTTTTATTCTCAGGTCTTCAAAGATTTAAAAGCAAAACCCAAACAGTTTCACAGTACAATAATTCTAGCTAAGGGGTTTCACTGATGGCCAAAGATGATGTGGCCTTGCCTAGTACAGAAAGGAAGGGAAAAGAGTTGCAGAAGAAGAAAAATAAATGGGAACTTATTCAGACTGTGAATTTGTGCTTTATTTCAAATAAAGCAAACAAATTGCATATTTATGATTCTAGGCTTATTTAAATCTTTATACAGTTAATATTTGAATAAACCAATATTTTAAATAGTGAAAATGCATAAATATATATAGTTTTGATCCCTCAGTTAGCTATGCTGATATGTTAACCATGCAACAGGACTATAGCTATAAAATATTATTGTTTTTTATAAACTGTTAGAGTATATAGTTGTTGTAAAAAGTTCAAATAAATTGGACAGAAAAAACGGGTTTTTTCATTATTTTCATCAAAAAGAAATCAGAATAAAACACAACATTCATTTAAGATAAAAGCAAGTTATCCCAAAATAGTGTAACTTTTTGTTTCAGTTTTTCATTCCCATCTTTCAAAAATCTGTTAGACTTCGTAAGACATGCTACCATATATTTCATTCATAATTGTCAATTTTTATAGGTAACTCAAAATTCAATCATTGTATCCCATTTCACAAATATATTTCTATTGCAGTTAACTTGTTGAAACGGACACTGTAGAACAGCAAATACATTCTGAGCCCAGAATTCATGTCAAACACCTGACACCTGTACTGTGTAGACCTTGTTTACACAGAGAGGCATGAACAGCTTCGTCTTTTAATAAAGTCTTTAATTAAACAAAACATTTCTCCTAGTTAATGATTTGATTTCCTATAATATGCTAACTATGACAACAAAAACTCCCCAAAATATTACCTCACTATTAACAGTGTAAAACTAAGAAGAGGACAAGGAAAGTCTTACAGTTTTCAAAAGCTGGCCTTTAAAGCCAAATGTTAAACACCTTGCATCATATCTATTACAAATTTTTGGTTCTTCACATCTATAAATTATTCTTTGCTTGGTACTACACAAGAACCCCTGCAGTTTTCAGCCATACACAGTCTAACTTACATAGACAGTGCAAAGGCAAAAAAATTTAGAGAAGCTTGTAAGTAATCCTAAAATGTTGAACACAACACTGTAAACAAAAATGGACATTTCAAAACAGTCAGCATTTCTCAGGATTAGACAGACAAATATCTGCTTTGATTTCAACAGCTCAGTTCAGCATTCTGCTGGTGCTGCCTGACACCCAGTCCCCCACCCTCCCCACACAGGAACTGCCTTCCACATCCATTCTGCCAGCGTTTTTGAGTCTGTATGTTCATGACTGGACTTTTAATTTTACTTTTATTTCCTGACAGAAAAAAAAGCAATAATCTATCAGTGAAGTGCAGTTTTCCTCATTATTTAGACGTCTAAACATTCTCCCAATTCCTATCTACATAATGGAAACCAACAAAGCAAACGCTGTCAGTCCATGTAACTGTATGCAAAACTTGTAACAGCTCATCCCAACAGGAAGAAATATGTCTGGAGAGATAGCAGAAATCAAAGTAACAGCTTTAACACACATACACACCCACCAAGGAGGGAACAAGAGAGACTGTTCTGTAATATTTTCCATAGCAAGCATTATGAAGCTTCTAGTGAAACACATAAAGCCATTACAAAGTTAATATAAAGAATAAGAGGTGATTGGCTTATGAAAAACATTTTCAGAGAATGAACATGAACTTCTATGCAAACATTGCAAATATTTATGTCTGACTGTGCAGCTACACACACAATAGATGTAAGGAAAAATACTCAACATGGCAATATAAATCACTAGACATTAACTACTTACTGTTAAGAGCCATAATATTGTCTGTTCCTGGATGATGGAAGTTTATTCCCATACGCCCTGCAATGTAAGTAAAAGCTATTTTCAATGGTCTGATTTCACAACTGAATTAAATTCATTAATATGAAAAATTTCTAAAGGGAATGAACAGTCAGGGTAGCTGAATCTTCCACCTATTGAAGACAACTTCCCAAGAATACACATTTAAAATATTTAACACCATAGTACCTTCAGTAATATGCACTTAAAATATAAACAATGACACAATTATTTTAATACATTCCTTTAGTTTGCACTAAGAAAGCATTATGCTTACCCTTTCAAAACAAGACCTCAAGTTCAGCCTTGATGCAGTTATGCCATTTATAGTCGGCTTCCAATAATGAGTACAGCATTACAAAACTCCATTTAATTGGTAAAAATAAGTCATTATTTTTCATACTACATGCAGCACCACTAGCTTTCAAGTTAACAGATGGTTGGAGAGGGAGTTCTTACCCTGGTTTTGCATTCTTCCCTAAGAAGCTCCCATCACCTACCATTTGAGATAAGACATTGGGTTGGAAGGCATATTGTTCTCCAGCAGGACATTCATATGTACTTTGAAAAATGGATATTCTTGACCTAAAGGAGACTCAGTCCAGAGAAACCTACTTTTACTGTTAGAGCAAAAAATGAGCTAACAGCAGCAGTGCCGTTCAGATTTGTTTTGGATACTTTTTAACTGAGATGAAGTATTAAACCTCACCCTGAAGACACTTGGTCATAGGACTTTTTAAATGAAACCACCCAAGAAAATCTGCAAGCTGTAATTTCTATTTGTCCTTACTTGGAAAAATATGTAAAAGGATAATTACAGTCACGTAAAAATTATTTCAATTAAGTACTGTAAATAACTTTATGTATATAATGTAATTCCATTTCATAGGCTTTACCTATCTCTAGGTCTGTGGCTAAGTTTGGGAGCAAAGGAAGAGGTCACTTTACATTTCTTCACTACATGGACACTCAAATATGGGAGCTCAGGACTCACTCACTACACTGAAAAACTATTATAATGGTTATGTTCCTGTACTTCTGCAAACCCAAATTTTAACAAACTCTGGCAAAGCAGAACTAACGCCAATCCTCTCCAACATTTTTAGTTCCTATTGATAATTAAAACTTTCTATTTCCAGTCACAGAAACTGCTGTGCTGTAATGAATATTGTTTCTGAACAGATGCAGCATGAAGTTTCAATACACTTCTGAAACTAAGTCATAAGCAGGTTAAGAAAAGTAAATCAATCTTATCTTCACATGGAAATTTTCTCCTTCTTTTAGAAAAAAATGCGACCACAATAAGGCTATGAAGCAAAGAGCACCTCCAGAAAGAAGTGAGGAACAAGGTAAATAGAATTTCCATTTTTCCTTTCCAACTCCTTGAGCAAAGCTCCTTAGAGATCAGCTTCATTAACCACTTCACATTCCCTAATTACAGACATAATTCTCCTATACATATTTTCACATTAATCTGGCACTGCAGAAACATTAAAGCTGCTGTTATTTCATTTAGTATAACCTTTGCTAAAATACTTCAAGACATTTCCAGATGAACATTAATCCCCTTTTCCTTAACAGTGTATTAATGAGTGTGAGGTTACAGGTATTACTTGTAAAGAGAAAAGGTGTCTCTACTAATTTGTACTTTAAAATTAGTACTTGGAATAGAAGGGGGAAAAAAACCCAACTGTGAAAAAATAGAGTAAAATTTGAATGCATAACGCTTGGATGGCTCCTTCTCTTTTCCTCTGCTGAAGCTGAAATTCTGCTGTTCGACCAGCTTCAGAAATAGAATCCTATCTGTGACATCTGGGTTTGGTTTTTTCCTCCCTCCAGGCTGTTACTGGACCAGGTGCTGCTTGTGTGACATTTTGTCACCTGCCCTTGGCCTGCTATTTTTAAACAGTTCTTGTCAGCTATCTTTTAAGAGGAGCAGAAAATACAGAGCAGCACAAGCAGAAGGACATGTTCTCCCACTGAGCTAAGCCAGCGTGCAGGATAATTCTGTACATCTTCAGAGGTCCCTCGTGCAGCTCTATAGAAACAGATTAATGGAATCCCTTCAAAACACACCTGTACTAAAAGCATTCAAAAGAGACTGGCAATACACCAATCATGAGACAACAAATTATGGACAATTATACAGCCTTTCATATTGGTTATAATGTTTTAATATTTTGTTGCTTGAAGCAAATTATTTGATTGAAAAAAGAGGCCATCTGTAGATTACAAAATTGCATAATTATCGAAGGAACAAGAGAGCACAGAAAGGAAATTATAATTTTTTAATTTAAAGGTGCAATGTAGAACTGTGAAATTTAATTAAGTATATGTACTTTCAAAGACCTATTTAGGTGAAACACATAAATGAAAACTGGAAAATAACCAATTTTAGGAAAAAACATGTACCTGACCATTTACAAGATCTATATAAGCACATATTTCTAATTATAGTTATAAAACAAAATCTCCAAATAAAGGGTTTACTTTTCAAGAATATTAAGTACTCTAAACAGAAGTGTAGGGAAGTTAAGAGCACAGAAGTTATGGATTCCAGCAGTTCAGTGAAATCATAAATAGGAACCCTTCCAGTAACAGCATCCCCAGTACTTGTATTCAGTGTACATCTGCCATTTTCAGTCTGCCTGTCTTGGTTTCATAACTGTTTACTGAGTATATTTTCAATTATGTGCTTTTATAACATACACTTAGACTACTGCAGTTATGCTGCAGCAATAATCACTCTTCCATGTCTTTTCAATTCCTAGTTTAGAAAGAAAAAAATCTAGCTGTATACTTCTTGCTCTTTAAATACTTCAGAGCATAAATGAACGCTTGATGAAGGCTTCTATAGCCCAGGCTGCAGTGTTGCTTATCTTACATCATTAAATTTCTTAAATTAGTTCTCCTAACAACATTTGGAGAGACTTTTCTAGCTGGACAGCCTGGGTGCTCTGCTGCATGTGCAGTATCATACTTGTCATGGCAGAGATTCCTTTTTAGAGCACATCAAGTCTGAGCATCCTCTATTCTGTATTGTACTAGAAATGAGATGGTAAAAAAATTTAACTTTACCTTGTTCTTTGTAAAGGTGCATATTGATCTTGAATGAATTCTGAAATCTTTCTAACAACTTAAGGAAGTATACCCTTCCCACATATGAATCTTTCTTGATTCTTTTGCAAATAAGCTTTTTTAAATTGTCTAGATAATTTTGAGTTACATGATCAGTTTTGAGAAATAATGCTGTTCCAGAAATAGTAAAAATTAATATCAGACACAGTTTTACCACTATTGCATTTCTTCTTTTATTCATTTACTCTTCCTATGAGCTCTGTGGTATTTTGAATTTGTGTAACCCTAATCAGTACCTGGATATGAACACTCACATAGTGAAGGGCTTTTAAGATTACAGTTACCTATTCTAACCTCTCTTATGTTACAATCAACATTCCAAGAAACAATGTTCATCACTTATATATTGAGTAAAACTTCTTGCACTATTATACATCATGATTTGCACCAGATCAACCACTTATACCAATTCAGCAATTAGTATTTGGCATAAGATTTGCTAGAAAATAGCAAAGTTGGTCTGCTTTTGACCTGTCCTGAAGCTTCTGGGAACAAGAACTTCCTTGGAATGAGAACTTCCTTTCTGATTCTTAAGATCACTGTTGATATCAATTACAATTTATGACTATATAATTCTGTGGCAAGGTCAAATGAAACTGGCAACAGGACTGGGTCTGCTCTATTTCTTTAGTAATAATACCTCCTTTATTACTCTTATCTCTTCTATCATTTCCAAATTACTGCCAACAAAAGGCATTAAAAAACAGCAATACTTACTTGGATAGATAGGTAGCAAGTGGGGTAGGTTAAAGTCTAGACACAGAAGAGTGCAAAGACCAAAGCACAACCAGAATATTACCCCAAACATGTGAAATAAGATTATTCATCTGACTGCCATATATTTGGGAGCCCAGATAACAGCACAACCTATGACTCTCCAGAGCCTCCCTCATCTCCTCACACCCCCAGCTCAGCCATGAGTGTGTGCTCCAGGATTCACAAATGGCCACAAAGCATGAAGCATGTGTGCATATAGAAGAATTTTAATAGTTTTTACCGGAGTAGACCTTCAAGCATTCTCTCTCCTTTTCCCCGAAACTACAGGTATGTGAAACCATGCTACATTAACTCAACAGACATGCCCAAGACAATTTCAACACCTAGAATTTTGTAAGCAAGGGTCCACATAAAAAAAAAAAAAATATATATAAAAATAAGAGGTAGATCTCTGAAGAAGTTTATTGACTTTATTCTCTCCTCTCTTTTTTATGTATATTTGCCATTTGTTCACACCCATAATTTAAACACCCACACTTACAGATCTTTAAAAAAATTAAAATACTGAGCAGAACAAAAGTACTATTGTTTGCCAGAAGGGAAATATGAAGAACTATTGCTGTGTTCACATGTATATACTTTAACTGTGCAAAAACACACTGTGGCAACGTGAAGAGAAGCGTATAATTATCAGCTGTGAATATCAGTAATAAAATTTCCTATCACTGACTAAGCATATATATCCAATCAGTAGGGAAAACAAAACAGCATAAAATAAAACAGTATATACATTACAGTGAAATGCAGTTTTTATAAGTAAATTACGTTGCTCCAATAAAACACAGCAGTCTTGCATATATTTAAGTAGTGCGAACATTTTTAGCTTGAAAACAGCTATATTTTCAAGATAATAGTACTTTGAAAGCAAGACTTGAACTTAAATTTTGCATTACTTATAAGTGGTAGACAAGTATTTGTACACATATGCTCATTCTACATGAAGTTCTGGAACTGTATTCAAAAGAGCAATATTGGCATTTTTCATTGCTGTGTTTGGGGGAACTTAAATAAAGCAATATCAAAGCAGACTTTACCACTAGCAACCTATACTAAAATATACAAAACCCTCAAAACAGTAGCAAAGTGAGAAAGAAAAAAAGCAAAACAGATTTAGGTCTTTGTGAGGCCAATCTTCATAGCACAACGAAAAGAGGGAAATAAAGAGAAGGAAAATTTGCTATCTCTATAACCAATTTTTAAACTAAACAAAGCAAACAAAAAAACCCCACCACTCCTGACCAAACAGATTCAGCAGGGCAAAAACAAGGACATGCTGTTTGCCAGCAGCAAATTAGGAACTATGACCACTCTACAGGATCATTGCAAAAGGCATTTATTTAACTAAAAATATATGAACCATTTAATGACCATATTCTGTCCTGAAAAAAAAAATATTAAAGAGGATTTTTTAAAATAAGCAGAGTTTCAAATGGAAAAGCAACATAGTCTTTTCCTTCAATATATGAACCATTTAATGACCATATTCATTTAATGACCATATTGAAAAAAAAATATTAAAGAGGATTTTTAAAAATAAGCAGAGTTTCAAATGGAAAAGCAACATAGTCTCTTTCCTTCAAAAGGATTAGCATGAGGGGCCTAAGGGAGACACTTTTATGTAGGAAACAAATGTTCTGGTCAGTGATAAGTGGCATCTACCCATAGCAATTCTGATAATTTACTTTTACCCTACACTTTAGGTCAAAGCAGAATGTAAATAAAGAAGGCTATAAAATACTGCAAATAGAACCTTTCCTCATTAAAGCAACACTGTCACTTATACTTTTGTAGTGTATAATATATTTTATTGGCCATTCAAAAAAGTAAATAAGATTGTTCAGGAAAAACATCCTAGGAAATACTGCACATTTCTGTCAAAGAGGCCTCGTTATGACTGACATGGGGAACAGCCAGATACCCTGGGCTGTACACTGTAATTTGTCATTAACCAAGTCAATTATAACCAATTGTCATTAACAATTCCTTTACTCAACTTTTTTCCTCTTTTTTTTCCTCCTCTTGAAAGAAGGAAAGTATTTATGAGTATTGACTGAAAGAAAAGAAAAACATTGAAGCTGGTCTCGATGGTAGAGAAAGCAGGTAGGGAAGTCTGCCAAAGGGTCTTGGGACAAACGAAAATGAGAATTCCTTTTCAATTAATTTACATTCCTTAAATCTCAAAGTACAAAAATGGCAAATGACTTCTAAAGTTGCACAGTTCCCAGACTATGAGGACAGAAAACCCGGAACATACAGAAGGGTTCCCCTATCTGGCATGAAAAGCTGAGAAAAAGAAATCAGTTTTTGAAACAAAACAAGAGCGGACACTGAGCACCTTCTCCCAAGACTGGGCTCATGATAAAATGCAGCTTAGATGGATATGCTGGTAATTTAGGTGTAGAAACCTCAGAGCTAGATTTCAAATCTCTTTTACAGCAAGAAATACACAAAAAAAACTGAGTGATTGAGTGACCCTGGCTGTCCTCACTGGAGAGCACCAAGCCAGCCTGCCAATCAGACTGGCTCAATGTGAGTAACTCAGCACTGCAGGAGTGAGGATCAGATCATTTCTGCCGCACCAATAATCTGTCAGACTTGCTCTGCTCCACAACTGAAAGCAATAAAAAAGTCCCTCCCCAAAAAATGTCACTTAATCACATGTCCTCTCAAGGTCAAGTGGATCATGCTTTAAAAGAGGTGATCTGCTTTGGTGACCTTGAAATAAACTCAATTTCCACGGCCTACAGGACAAAGTCTGACCATATCTCTGAGAGAAGGGTACGAAGCTTCAACAACTACAAATGAGACTCTCCCTTTCTCACCTTGAGTTTCTCCATTACCTCCTCTGAACCAAGCACAGCATGAGGAACTCAGACCCCAAAACAAGAACAAAATATCCCAGAAGCATTTTAATTTGGTCTTCCCATCAGAATATTTTATGGTTAATCCTCCCACCCACATTCTAATCAAGAGCTCTCATTCCATACCCAAGAGAATTATTTTTTGTTCCAAATATCTGCTGGGACATGAAGGGCACACATGCCAAGAATGATGATATTCCAAGCAAAGTTTCAAACTTCAGATAAACTGCTTGCAATATTTTACTCATTAATACATATACAGACAGTACTTCTAAAAATAAATATTTGCTGGCAGCAGCAGGGTGAAATGATCCTGAAACATGGACCTGTTTCAGGCTCCGTAACATGCATTGGAGACCCCAAGAAATATACAGTTTTTCTAGAATCAAATCTTCCTGTATTTTCAAAATCAGAAGATTTTGGTACTCACCCTTTTCATACTTTCCACTTAAAAATTTGGATGGTAAATGTATGGCAAACTGACCTGTAGGCGCTGCTAGCTGTGATTGTTTGAGAAAAAAGGGATCATTTACCAAAAGAAGAAGAATCTTAAAAAGTAATTTGAAAGCCATCTCATTGTTTTTATTTTAAATTAGGATTTTTGTATCTACAGAAGAAATAGTGCTCAAACCTGAGATAGGACAATCAGATGCAAGAGGAAGTAAAGATTAAAAGGGAATAAACAGTTTACTATGAAAGACAGAGTTGGTAAAATGAAGAGGAACTAGCTCAGAGAGTTGGTTAAGTTAATAATACTCCAGAAATTTCACACAAGAGGCAATCACATGGGCTTGTCTACAAGGAACTGAAAAAATTAAGCTGAAGTACATAACCAATATATTAAAAAAGCTTCAAGGTGAAAATAAACAAAAATTTGGCAATGACTTAAGAGTAAGCCAAAGCAAGCAGAACTGATCACTTACTTTCTGAATGTGCTAACAGACTGAAATGTCCTGCTACCTTAAGGGGGTGAGTCAGAGGAGTGTGGAATAAATAAGAAAAAGCAAGTGAGTTTATAAGACAACAAAGTGAACTGTGAGGAAGGTGCAGAGAAGGACGGCAGCTGAAAACCTTCTTCGCCTTTGTAGAGAAAAAGTAGTGGGATGTACAGGAAAACATTCAAGACCAATTTTCAAAGAAAAAGAAACAGCAAAAATACAGTAAGAAAGTGATGTCAGGACTGAATCAATTTTTGTAGAAGAATGGTTTTCAGGAAAAGGATTCAGCTAAAATAGTAACATAGATCTGTTTAACACAGAGTAAAGCAACACCTCTTGCAAGGGAGAATGAACACGCCCTGAAAGAGCCGCTCCTACAAATATTCCCAGTCACACTGCAGTGTGAAAACAGGAGCAGGGAAAGTGCACACAAGGCCAGGGCAAGGCTGGGGGCTGGCAAAGTCAGCTCTGTATTTAAAAGGAAGAGAAAAAAGAAACACAGGGAAAGCAACGGTATTGAGGGGAAAAGCCACAGGCAGAGACACAAGGAGAAAACTGATAGAAAAGCAGACTTCTGCAACAGCTGCTGACTGGAAGTGAGCTCATTGGCAAGGGAGGAAGGCCAAAATGAGTGAGAAACACTGAATGAGAAAATGAAATAGCTAGAAAGAGCACATCCAGTCTGAGACTGAAGCCCTTGTTAGAGCAAAAGTAAACCTAATGGTCCCATTGTCAAATGGAAAATATCAATTTAAACTTTACATAATAGCCAACTTCAATAATTAATATCCAATCCAATTTCTAACCCCATCTTTTTCATTTTTTTCCACACTCAGATTCATGTAGAAATTCATTCTTAAAAAATTAGTCTCTATTTGTATATGTAAATAAATACTGAAAAACCCCATAAAAATCAGGAGGTTTAGCTAAATTGCAATGTATCTAACAAGATACAAAAAATACTTAACTGTATTTACTAGCAATTTGAATTTTATTTAGTGTTCTAATGCCAGCCACATGAAACATATATCCAATAGAAATGTCAATTTTGTTGAGCATGGTTTTTTAAAGTTCAACTTTAACCCTTATTTCAGAGATTTATGATCAGAATAGACATGAGACTGCATTCCTTGCCATTTTAGATAGATGAATAATGGTTAAAGACACATGAAGGCTACAGCATAGCAAATTTCAAGATAACAGTGGTAAAGAAGCCAGTTTGTTTGGGTTGTGAATAAAACCTGTACCCAGAAGAGATAGCAAAAAAGGCCCAATACTTTTGACCAAGAAAAAATATTTTTACAAATGGAGAGGAGAGTAAATGAGGCAGTCATGACATCAAAAAACATGTATATAAGCACTAGCATAGGAAGTGCTATACACAACTGAATTTCTTCTTTGTGTTCTGACTTAGTATTTGGGAATAATTTCTTTTCCAATATTTCCTTGGTATACGGATTACAACTATCCTCAGTCTTATAAGTCAGCAAGAAAGCATACCAGCAAGAACGTGTACTTATTTTTAAACACAAGCAATGAAAGATAAAGACAAAGAAGGGTGCAGGTTGATCAGGAATTCAATGAAATGCTGCCACACCTTTTCCTATACTATCAGGCAAGTATTACAAATGGTTTCATCCCTAATGCCAACACCTGGTAGAACAAACGGAGTTTAACAGCATAAATGATCAAAACTTTCCCAGCACTTAACAATAGCTAATATCTTTTGGTTCCCCCTAACAATTTGAAATCCAAATTAAGATAAACTAATTTAAAGGAAACCTGGAATAACTATAGAGAATAACCTTAACGCAGTGGTTGGTTAAGGACCAGTGCATCCTCGCTGATAATCCACGCTTTAGTATAACCTTTGAAAAAGATGTTGAACACAACAACTGGACTCCAGTTGCATGAAACATTTTTTGAAGTGACTGCAGCAAGAGCTCTTGCTCTACAATTTGTTGATACAAAATCCCATGTTTCAGATATGCCAGTCAGATAATACTGTGATTGTACACTTACAATAAATGGACACACATTTCACCTTATCTTCCTAGTAGAGAAGTTTATCTTAAGATGGGAAAACAGAAATTTCACAAAACTGGAAACTCATTCATTAATAAAAAGTTTATAGAAATACTGAAAAGCTGATTTTTGTTTAAACACCAAGCAAGCATGGACATATGAATATTCCTAACCTGTAAAATGATTCCTCCACATTATATCAGCGAAACTCATTGGTGGGCCACTGGGAGGGTAGTGTTTACCTTTCAGAGGCTCATGATCAGTCCTTATCATATCCATTAAGGAATTTTCCAAAGAGTGCAAGTTAAAAGTGTCATAGGGCCTATTCCGGTCCTAGAAGGAAGGAAAAAAAAGGAAGAAAAGACAAGAGTTATTGAAAATTTTAATTTTCTAATATAGGCTCATTTCTTGTTATATAAATTCCAGCATCCACTTCTATATTTATTCTTGACAGAACTTTCTATAAGACAAAAAAAAAAAAGTAAATATGTCTACAGTTGTTTAAAATTATACCCTTCATTTTGCAACTGCTGTTTTCACCAGTACAGCTATGCAAAGAGGCTTTTAAGTATTTCTAAAAATATACATACAAGCAACTGCTAATTCTAAACATTGTCATTTAAATAAGAACTTAGAAATAAAGCAGTATTAATGTTTCCACTGGAGAAATGAAATTGTTTCAGAGACACTTGGTTTACAGCTTCATCATCTGCTTTCTGTCACTGTGCTACCTTAATATCAGAGCAGAAGCAAGCAACGCTCAAGACACCAGCAGGCACCTTTGTGCCAGAAAGTACCAATTAATTCTTCAAATGTCCAACATTAACCTGATGGGTTAAGGAAAGTACACTAGGTGCAGGAAAAAACAGAGGCAAGCCAGGATAACACTTGCACTGTAGGGCACTCAAAAACCTGAGCAAGGGCTGGGCTGTATTGTTTGAGCCTCCCATTTTAAATTCACTGTAGTTCTGCTTCTGCTTTTGCAAGTAAAAGGGAAAAAGAAAAGAAAATAAAAGAAAACCCAGAATCAGTCTTTAGCAGGCCTACCAGAACAACCAGTTGCAAAGTTCAGGAACAATTCCATGGAGGAAACAATCTACCAATGCCCATGTATCCAGAGTACTGTCCACCATAAGACAGCATAACAGAATGGCCCCTTGTAGTTACCCTGTTGCTAAAAAAAATTTGTTTGCCTACTCTCATCACTATCATTAAAAAAAGGGGGGTGTTGTATACTATATTATGCTACAGTTGATAAAGAGTGGTATAACATTCTACCCTGCAAACTGAAACCTTCACTGTAATATGCTCCCACAATTCCTGGAACAACGTTTTTCACATGCTGGTTATTATAAGATATTTTTGCTTGCAAAAATAAGTAATTTGAAATAAGTATTTGAAATCCTCAGAGAAAAAGCAGTATCCATAGAAAAGGTAATAAAATTCTATCTTAATAAAGATTATTGCTCTTGAATCATCTTGTTCCTAGGTTGTCTTTAAATAAAACTAAAGGAGAGAATATTGGTATAAATTAAGTTTTTTTTTAATATTCCTGTTCTGGAATTAAAATAAATACACATCATTAAAAGCTTGCTGTTACAGAAAACTCTGAACTACAGATAGCCTTACTGTCAAAAATCTCATGTTCCCACAGTGCCTACTCTAAACTGAAGACCCAATTTCCCTTATCCAACATGCCAATGCTGTCTTTAGTATAAGTGGACTACCATTATTTTCTATACGCATTTATTTAATCTATTGAGCACTTCTGGCAGTCAAACATGATGTTCAAAGAATAATACTTGATTTCTGTTAGAAGCTATACTAAGTACTGAAGTTCAAATGAGCTCACTCGTTTTCAATTCTTTGTTGATGATTCTTGTCTTCTACAGCTGCTTAGAATTCCATCATTTGTATACTGTATTTAAAAGAATACTTGCTCCCCTATCCAAACGGAGCAATAAACTGAAACATAAAATAAAACGTATGTATGTCCAGCAAATCAAAGTAGATCCTAGGGAAAAAAAAAAAACCTCAAACCAAACAAAAACATCCAAAATGCTGAGGTTGGGGTTTTTTTCCAAAAAGAAAACTTTATTTGGTTAAAACAACTGACTTCTTAGTAATATGCACTAGTAGAGAAGAGTTTATTTCATAATCACACAAAAAAAAAGCAAGAGTAAATAAAAAAGAAAAAGCATTAACTTTGATGAAAAAAACTATTCTAGTGATGCATTAGTAAATTTATTAAATAGGATCTATATCATTCCTTCAAACCAAGAATTTTTGCTGCCTTTTTCTATCTGCATCTTTTAGATACATGTACTGCATGTAAGTGAAGAGGTCAGATGCTTCAATACCCAACTAAAACATCTTTTTGAAGAGAAAATATGAATTCAAAGATATAGCTTATATCCTAAATAGAAGTAAGGAAGTATTTTTCAGTCAGATGTGTGCCCTGACCTGGTTTACTATACAGCCATAGCAGAGCTGAGCTGGCAAAACCAGCACTGGTAGGAGAGCTAAAGGGCAGGACTGCAGCTTTTGCCACAATGGTAGTTTATTCCAGCTTCAAACATTCCTGAGATTACAGTCTTAGAGGTCAGAAGGCGTGAGTTCAGAAGAGGACACAGCCTACAAATTGAATTTAATTGCCCTTTATTAACATATGTATGTTATATTTTAACTATGCTACTATAGCAGCAAATCCCTGGGAGGTCCTGCTTTGCTCTGTAACCTGCCAAGGAGCATTGCACATGGACACAAGTGGAAAAAGGGAGAAAGAAATCATAGCATGGCACAAGGCTAGGCAGGGCAGGTTTGTCAGAATGCTGCATCTTCCTAACCTTTTAAGGGGCACACAAACCTGCAATATATTTTCAGGATTAAAAGAGACCTACATTAGACACAGGAAGATCAATTTAATCAAAATCCTTTACCAGGCAATTATAACACTTCCCATTATAGCACTTGAGCAAGATAAATCTAGTAAAAGAAATTTTAGATGCAACAGCTTTTACGAGTATGTTGTGGCAGTGCATAAGTATAACGTGTGCTGACTACAGACTTTGCAGTGTGGGTGATAAAACACAAGTAAGGGCTAACATTCTAGCTCCTAAATAAAAGGGTTATTACTATTTTTCTCAGTACCTTTCATTTCAGTAGCAACTCATTTGTACTCAGCAGATTTGAAAACTGTTTTCTAAATTCAGCAATTTCTTCCAAGACGACTGGTGCTTCTGCATACACACACAATTATGTTTCCTCATTTCTCAGCATGAACAGGTTCTCCTGGTTTTGTGAGCTGATACTGTTCCAGCTCCTGGATTTGCCTTTTGCACTGTTTCCATAGGCCACCAGTCTATTGCCAAACAATCCCAACAACATAAACAATTCATAAAGGTCCTTAGCAGCACATCAGAACTTGGCAAGAAAGTTCTGGGACTAGGACCATGAACTAAAATCAAAATATATACAAAACACAGAGTGATAAAACATAATAAATAAGTTGGAAAAGAAGTTTGAAAATCCAGCCAGTCTGGAAGATTTGCTGGGATATCTTCCTACAGAAGACAAAGCTCCTAAGACCTACTTAGATAAACTGCATTATGGATAAAAGAGAAATCTCCAGCTACCAGGCACTGCCTTTGGCTACACAACAATCATTAAGTCAGCAAAAGATTAAGTCCAGCCTGCCCATGTTGGATTGTGTTTCTGCTGTGTGCAGACAGCAGCTCCCTCTTTGTTAGCTGCTGGTGTATATGGCAGCATACTTCAGTTCTCAGAATTCTCCAGACTTGAAAGAAAGAAAAACAGTTTAGTAATCAGAGCTCTTAGAGAAGAGATGCATCCCAAAACTTTAAATCCCAGCCCTTCATGGCTGCTATCTACACATTCATCTATGCCATGGACCTCCTCAAAGTGGACATCAATATAGTGAAAAATCACAAATGCATATCAGGATCAGATTTTGAAGGATCACAAAGTGAAATGGACCTTTAGTTGGAGCTGGGTCTCAACTTTCTACCTCTAAAAATCTAACTTGTAAGTCTGATAAAAAATGTCACATAACACAGTGTCTATAGTATTTTAATTAAAAAATAATCAAAACCAAAGAGTAACTGCCAAAAATAACTGCAGAGGCAATACACTAAAATAAAATGAGAAAATACAACAATATGCATTTTATCTGAATCTTACCCTTTCGGGCATATGCATTATGCTAGTCTTTAATTACTCAGCCATGATAATTATTCAGAAGTCTCCAGTCTCCATCCAACACACATAATGAATGAAGTCTAGGAATGAATCAAAACAGTGCTTTGAAGAGGTCTGTTTTATCTCTAGGACAGATGCCTGTATCACTTACTCTAGGAGATGGCTGAGTTGTAATAAACGCATCAGCAAATTCCAGGAAGGCAAAAGTAATTTTGAAAGTTATCTTACTTATGAAACAAATATTACTTAGCAGTACTGACACATTTGTAACAATTGAAATAAAAAGAATTTTTTTTCCCATTTGTTGTACCCTGTAACATGGTAGGCTTTGCCCCCTTCCAACTCACAGCAGGGGCATGTAAGGGCAGGGCATACCCAGCACTACTCCAGGTCCCTCCCAGTAGATACACAAATCATGTCTTTACTGCTGAGAGGAAAAGATAAAGAATGAGAAAAAAATAAAAGACTACATCACAAATGACAACGTCAAGATCAAATCTATAGCTAGAACCATAACAGGTGAGAAGTGGATCTTAATACAGCCTGATTTCCTCATGAACCCTCTCAGCTTGAATAGGTAGCCCCAAGTAATTGGAACTAATGAACTAAAAAAGGAAATGACTGACCTATCCCATGGCAGAGACATGAAGAAAATGCATCTTGCTCCAAAACCTGATGCTGTATCATTTTCTTCTGACTCTGCAGAGGATTATGGCAGAAGAGACTTGACCATTAATTATTAAACTACAAAAATTAAAAAGGGACAAGTTTTACCCTAAGAATGCTTGTCAGCAACCTAACTCATGGTGCCCAAGCCCAGCTATCATCCATACTCAAAATCCTTAACCATGAAACACAAGGTTGCATGTTTTAAATCCTTGTTGGCATGGTCATCTACACCTGTAACATAAAATACACATGGAGTTGAGAGGCATCCCTCATCTGCATATCTTTTACTGTGCAACAAATCCTCAGGTATCTGGATCCTCCCAAAGACATATTTCCCTGGGCCCACATATTTCAGTTCACTGACTTCCTACTAAACTTCCTATATTCTGAGCACTATCTCAGTTTCAGTAATTTATTTCAGTGCTCTTCATTTTCATGCTGCCCTA